TGTATACAATACACTTTTTCTCAAGAAGTTATTCAACGCTGGGTGAGTGGCTCATGCTTGTAATCCCAGCACTTTGGGAGGCTGAGGTGGGTGGATCTTCTGAGGTCAGGAGTTCAGAACCAGCCTGGCGCCCATGGCAAAATCCCGTCTCTACTAAAAATACAAAACTTAGCTGGGTGTGGTGGCATGCATCTGTAATCCCAGCTACTCAGAAGGCTGAGGCAGGAGAATCACTTGAACCAGGGAGGCAGAGGTTGCAGTGAGCCAAGATTGTGCCACTGCACTCCAGCCTGGGTGACAGAATGAGATTCCATTTCAAAAAAGAAAAAGAAAAAGAAGTTATTCAAGAAAGTGCTCTATCAAAATAAGAGATTAAACTAAGAAATAGAAAGAAATTGACAAAGGAAACAGAAGTTCCAACCCATAAGAGAGGTGTAAGGAGTCCCCGGGACAGTAAAAGGAGACCCTGGCATGACAGTTGTACACCCTGCAGAGAAGGCAGCCAGCTCAGAGAGCAGCCCTACGACTCCAGAGACGGGAATGTCAAGGGCTCTCATTCATAGACCCCTGCTGCCTACAGTGATTAATTTGAGGACAGAATGCCCCAGACAGCCTGGCCCACATTCTTTCCTGTACTGGCCTTATCTTGGCCATGCATGTATAAAATGCCCTCTTCTCTCTCTGTGTCTTGCTGACTGGGTTAGCGGAGGACACTCATTCCACTCCAGAGAGTATTCTGCTTTGATCTATTCCCAAGAGTGGGAAGAGAGCCATACTCAGAGCTTAGAAGCAGGAAACATAAAACAATCCACTCTCTCTGATGATATTTCTGCCAGATGTCTGGTACCTGGCCACACTACAGCACTGTCTGACTTACGTAGAAGGGACTATTGAAACTGACAGCTTAGATTCTCAGGTGAGTCTTCCCCAAAATAGTGGCAATATTTTTTTTTCAATCAAAAAGCTAGATTTGTCAGTCAGAATGACTATTATTAAAAAGTCAAAAAACAATAGATGTTAGTGAGGATGTGAAAAAAGGGAAACATTTATACATTGTTGGTGGGAAGGCAAGTCAGTACAACCTCAATGGAAAGCAGTATCGAGATTTCTCAAAGAACTAAAAATAGAACTACTGTTCAATCTACTTTTTTACACAATGAATTTTTTTTTTTTTTTTTTTTTTTTGAGACAGAGTTTCGCTTTTATTGCCCAGGCTGTAGTGCAATGGTGTGATCTTGACTCACTGCAACCTCTGCCTCTTGGTTTCAAGCAATTCTCCTGCCTTAGTCTCCTGAGTAGCTGGGATTACAGGCATGCGCCACCTCGCTCAGCTAATTTTTGTGTTTTTAGTAGAGATGGGGTTTTGCCATTACATAATTAATTCTTTTCCTTTATGCAGATACCCAGTACTGGTATCTACATAAAGGAAAAGAATTAATTATGTAAAAAAAGATACTCGCATTGGTACATTTATTGCAGCATTATTCACAACAGCAAAGATGGAATCAATCTAAGCATCTATAGACAGATGATTGGATAAAGAAAATGTCATCTATATACAAAATGGAGTACTCTTTAGACATAGAAAAGAAGGAAACCATGTATTTTGCACAACATGGATGGAACTGGCCATGTTGGATGGCCAGTCTTTTAAGTTATGCAGCCCGGAAACACAAAGTCAAATACCAGTGTGTCCACATGGACATGAAGTGTGGAATAATTGACACTGGAGACTTGGAAGTGTGGGATGGTGACGGGGGCTGAGGGAGGAGAAATTACTTAACTGGCATAATGTACATTATTTTGGGTGATGGTTGCACTAAAAACCCAGACTTCACCATAACTCAGTATATCTGTGTAACAAAACTTCACTTGTACCCCTTAAATGTATTGCTTTAAAAGCTAGGTTTGTAATTATTACTCCATTTTTCAAAATGGAACAATCCATTGTACACTAGTACATTTTAGAAGGTCAAACTGTGAAGGAAATGAAGAGAATACATATTAGCTTTCTCCTGCTGCATAACAAACCACCCCACTATCAGCAGCGTGTAACACCTCATTAGTAGCTCACAGTTCTGAAAGTGAGAAGGTTGGGTGAGTTAGGCTGCACTCTCAGAAAATGTCAGCTTTCAAGCTCATTGCTATTGGTGGCAGAATTCAATTCCTTGTGTTTTTTAGACTATGGTCCCGGTTTCCTTACTGGCCGTCGCCAGGGGTCATGCTTAGTTCCTTGTGGCAGCTCTCTGGTTCTTGTTCGTGGCTCCCTCCATCTCACAATCAAGAAACAGCATGTGGAATCCTTCCCACACTTTGAATCTGGCTTCTCCTTCTGCTACTAACCAGAGAAAACTGTTTTTAAAGGGCTCACTTGATTAGGTCAGACCTCGCTGGATAATCTTCTAATCTTAAAGACAACTGATTTGGAACTTTAGTTACATTGACAAAATCCCTTCACAGCAGTACGTAGGTTAGTATTTGATCACCGCACGAAGGGAATTGTGTGATCATGTGGGGATCATTAAGATTCTGCCTACCACAAAATGATTTCCATAGAAGTCAAAATAATGGTCACTTCTGAAAGGGAAGGAATAAGGAAATATAATTGAATAAGGAAATAAGAGGGGCTTCTAAGGTTTTGGAACATCCTAATTTTAACCTGAGTGGAGGAGGGGGACATGGTAGTGTATTTTCTTATTTTTCCTTGAATGGTTACATATGCTTTTTACACTCTTTTGTATGTATATCTATCTCACAAAAAGAAAAAAATTCAATGCAAGACAAAATGGCTTATGACTATGAATGTGGCACGTACTTGATTCTAGGATTTTTAGAGCTGGTGTGTAAGGCAGGCATGTTCATTTGTGAAAGAGGTGGTCAGGATTGCCCAAGCATTTTTGCTAAACTGGGCAGGCTCTTCTTGCACACCAAGAACATCTGTGGAATGAGAGCTCATCATATGTGCCACCTACCATCTCCGGTATTAGAATTAAATGGGAAAGGGAAAACTGGAATGTGATTAAGAAACTATAGTGTATCAGAAAACAGTGATCCACATTGAAGATGCTTCTGGTTGCTGCCTAGGCAGTCACAGCTCTCAGTTTTGGATCTCAGAAGTGGAAGTTACTAGATCCCAGTGGTAAATCAGCAATGCTCTCACAAATGCACAGATATAGTATACTTATGCACACACACACACACACACACACACACACACACACACACACACAGGAAAAGACTGAGCTGTTCGCAACAGGACACCACTTCTGTGATCAACTGCTTTTTTTCAAGTCCACAGCTGCCTTGCCTCTGAAATTCTCCAGTAGAAGCCATGACCAGATTCACTTATGACCCTTTAAAGGTCTGGTCTGGGTAGGAACTGCCTAACAGAACCTATTTGGTGGGATGCAGACAAGAGATCTTCTAGGTCACTGGCTTTCATCCAAACCTGAGATCCTAAACCCTTTGAATTTGTAAATGGCCAAGCGGACTAACCCACAAGGATTTGTTCTGTGTGGTTTCACATTCCCCCAGATCTATCATGGACTCTGGTGACAGTTCTCATGGACTGGGGGTTCTTGTTAATTTGGGGAGGGCTAGGGTGATCCTTTCTCTCTAATACTTTCCAATAGCCCAGCAAAATGGGTAGGAAGAGAGGGAAGAGAGAAGAATTTCTGGAGAAACTTCAGAGTAATTGGATCACGGGGACATAATCCCAGATGTATAAGAAGTTTCTTGACTTGGTAACTTGAATTACCAAACTTTAAATGACTTCAGGGACTAGAATAATCCCAATAGCAGGATGGGATTTAAGTGGCTTTGTATGAGCAATGAATGGTTTCTGTGGATTTTAGCAAAACACAGAACAAAGACAAGTAAACGCTCACCCATTTCAGGCACTAACTCATCTGGCGGCTGCTTTCTGACCAGATTGGCTATGTCTGGCTTCCGCACTACTCTCAGAGCCCAGAGAAGTAAATCTGAATCAACACATTTGTTGAAAAGGTAAGCGAGCACTTTTAAAAGAATATAGAAACTCTTGTGGGCCCAGCTCCATCCCCGGTGGCATACCTGATGACTAAGTGGCACAGGGGGAATTTTGAAGGAAATAGAAAAGGATGTCTACATGGTGCAACAGTCCAAGAATGAGAAATTCATGAGACCATTTAGTCCCTGGGATGGAATATCTCTGATAATAATCTATTCCAAAGTAAGCGTCGGGAAATGAAGTTCCAGAGAAGAAAAAGAACTTCACGATTCCCATGCATTGATTGGTTGGCAAATGCCAGTCCTGTTAATACGTGCTCCAGAAGAGTCTGGCAAGTGAGTGAGTGAATGGACAAATAGCCCAGGGCTCTGTAGATCTCGGAAGCGATCTAAAAAAGAGGAGGCAGAGAGCATCTTAAAGTGCTCACAGGTCAGGTGCTGTGGCTCACGCCTGTAATCCCAGCACTTTGGAGGCCAGGGTGGCAGGATTGCTTGAGTCTAGGAATTTAAACCCAGCCTGGGCAACAAAGTGACACCTCGTCTTGACAAAAAATTAAAAATTAGCCAGGTGTGGTGGCACAGGCATGTGGTCCCAGCTACCTGGGAGATTGAGGCAGGAGGATCGCTTGAGCCTGGAGGTTGTGGCTGCAATGAGCTGTATTTGCCCTACTGCACTCCAGCCTAGGTAATGGAGTGAGACTCTGTCTCAAATAATAATAATAATTTTAAAAAGTGCTCACAGAGCAGAATGGTCAGGGATTGGGGATGAGGCGTACCAGTTTTTTCTACCAGTCCTAGGTCTCAAGGGGAAAAAACATACAAATTGAATATAACATTTCTTGCCAAAATTGAGCAAAGTGAATCATCCACACCTGTAACTTGAAGTAAATGTGTGATGCCTGTCTTAAATATGATGAGGAAAATTAAAACTAATCAGGTGACATTTGAAACCTCTCTATGGGATGGCCAAATACCACCAAGTAGATTTTGATCAAATTTCCTGCATTTTATTTAAAGCAATATAGAAAACCCTTTGAATTGTCAGAGATGTTCTCCAATTGCTCAGAAAGTCTGGGCTTCCTCACTGGCTGTCTGGGCACTTTAGGCATCAGAGAATCATGCAGCTGGCCCTCTGAGTTTGTGCAAGTGACATAGAGACACCATGGTCAGTTCCAATCAGACCTCCCCTGTGATGGCGTTTGTTCTCCTGGGCCTCTCTGCCCATCCAAAGTTGGAGAAGACATTCTTCATGCTCATCCTGCTGATGTACCTGGTGATCCTGCTGGGCAATGGGGTCCTCATCCTGGTGACCATCCTTGACTCCCGCCTGGACACACCCATGTACTTCTTCCTGGGGAACCTCTCCTTCCTAGACATCTGCTATACAACATCCTCAGTCCCACTCACCCTTAATAGCTTCCTGACTCCCAGGAAAACCATCTCCTTCTCAGCCTGTGCTGTGCAGATGTTTCTCTCCTTTGCCATGGGAGCCACAGAGTGTGTTCTCCTGAGCTTGATGGCGTTTGATCGCTACGTGGCCATCTGCAACCCCCTTAGGTACTCTGAAGTCATGAGCAAAGCTACTTATGTGCCCATGGCTGCCAGCTCCTGGGTAGCTGGAAGCCTCATTGCCATGGTGCAGACATCCCTTGCAATGAGGCTGCCCTTCTGTGGAGACAACATCATCAACCACTTCACCTATGAGATTCTGGCTATCCTGAAGTTGGCCTGTGCTGATATCTCTGTCAATGTGATCAGTATGGGAGTGGCCAATGTGATCTTCCTGGGGGTCCCGGTTCTGCTCATCACTTTCTCCTTTGTCTTCATCATTGCCACCATCCTGAGGATCCCCTCAGCTGAGGGGAGGAGAAAGGCCTTCTCTACCTGCTCTGCCCACCTCACTGTCATGATCGTCTTCTACGGGACCATCCTCTTCATGTATGGGAAGCCCAAGTCTAAGGACCTGCTGGGAGCAGACAAACAGGACCTTGCAGACAAACTCATTTCCCTTTTCTATGGGGTGGTGACCCCCATGCTCAACCCCATCATCTACAGCCTGAGGAACAAGGATGTGAAGAGTGCTGTGAGAAGCCTGGTATTTCAGAAACGCTTCCCACAGTGATGGTGGAGGGGTCCTGATGGCTCTGTGTTTTCTGATTGCTCCCACCTGAGAGTCTCAGAGGACAAGGTGAAAGACCAAGTAGATCAAAGGTTACATAGGTAATCTCATTACACAGAATCTCATTACATAGAAGGGCTCTGTAGGAACAGGAAACATTTAATGCAACTCCACCAAAGTATGTTCTTGTTTGTCTAACCTTGTAGTTCTCATTCTCCGTGATAGATACTGAACGAATTGATGTCAAGCAAAAGTAACTCTTCACATTTTTATTGTTGGATGAATGAAAAGCTCTAGTCTGTAGGTCTTTGATTCAATTGCTCCATGGCTTCTTTCTTTGAACATATTTGAACATATTTGGCTGCTGCTTTCTGACCAGATTGGCTATTTTTGGCTTCTGGACTACTCCCAGATCCCAGAGAAGTAATTTGAATCAACACATTTGTTGAAAAGATAAGCGAGCACTTTTAAAAGAATATAGAAACTCTTGTGGGTCCTTACTTTTATGTTACCTTTCAAGCTCTTCCTACTCCATATTAAATAATAGTTTTATTTTTCTCTTCATTGTTTTTTTTTTTCTCCTTGTCATATAAATTCTTTAAACTGTTTGCTGAATTTTTCTGTCTCTGTATCTTCATAAATTAACCTGTAGCTTTGTCTCTCTCTCATCCTCACTCAGAGTCCTCACCAGAAAATCATTCATGGTCTTGGAGAAGAGAGGGGAGTAAGGAAGGTGTGGCAAAACTGATGCAAGGGTCAAGGGCACAGGCCTCTTTTCTTTTTCCTTTTGGAAGATATCGTTCATCCCTGGGCTCTGTCCTAGATACCAGTGGCCTCTCATGAGCCATCAGAGTAATGCAAAAACCGAAGAAAGTCCAGGAGGATCAAATAAATTGTATTAACCACCTGACTTGGCTTAACCAAGCATGCAGCCAAGTGGCAGCCATCACTTGTTTTTCACTGAAGAATCCCTGAGGCCACATAGTAGTCAGAGGAAGATAGAAACAATGCCCACCAGGGGGCATCTAAGAGTCACCCACATGATTGTGAGGAATTCCAAGTCGGCTCCAAATAGTGATCAGTCTAGAAGTCCAGTTAAAAGGATCAGCAGAACAGAAAATTTCTGACATAAACTTTTAACCCCATAGAAACAAACTGACAATTAAAATAAAGATCCTAGCACTTTGGGATGCCAAGGCGGGCAGATCATCTGAGGTCAGGAGTTCGAGACCAGCCTGGTCAACATGGTGAAACCCCTATCTCTACTAAAAATACAAAAATTAGCTGGGCGTGGTGGCTCATGCCTGTGATCTCAGCTACCTGGGAGGCTGAGACAGGAGAATCGCTGGAACCCGGGAGGCAGAGGCTGCAGTGAGCTGAGATCGTGCCATTGCACTCCAGCCTGGGCGGCAGAGCGAGACTCCAACTCAAAAACATAAAAAAATAAACAGCCTTGGCTGGGCGCGTTGGCTCACGCCTGTAATCCTAGCACTTTGGGAGGCCGAGGCGGGCAGAATACGAGGTCAGGACATCGAGACCATCCTGGCTAACATGGTGAAACCTCGTCTCTACTAAAAATACAAAAAATGAGCCAGGTGTGCTGGCGGGCACCTGTGGTCTCAGCTACTCGGGAGGCTGAGGCAGGAAAATAGTGTGAACCGTGGGGGGACGGAGCTTGCAGTGAGCCAAGATCGCCCCACTGCACTCCAGCCTGGGTGACAGTGTGAGACTCCATTTCAAAAAAATAAAAAAATAATAAATAAATAAATAAATAAATGAACAGCCTTTGCTGAAAATCAGTTAACGTGGGGAGATGGTGAAAATGTTAAAGAAAATTTTCAGTAGTTTTATCAATGGAATTAAAGAGGCTTTTGAATCAATAAAACAAGAGTTGTCTATAAAAAAAGAGGCTAGGAGAAAAGATATCTGAGCAATAAGAACATTTTCTTGGAAAAAAAAGTTCACAATTGTTGAACAAATACAATTCAATAGATAGTATTTAAGACAAATCTTAAAAGGAATTTTTAAATTAAAAATAACTTTTTGGCCGGCCCGGTGGCTCACGCCTGTGATCCCAGCACTTCGGGAGGCCGAGGCGGGCGGATCACGAGGTCAAGAGATCCAGACCATCCTGGCTAACACAGTGAAACCCCATCTCTGCTAAAAATACAAAAACTTAGCCGGGTGTGGTGACGGGCGCCTGTAGTCCCAACTACTCAGGAGGCTGAGGCAAGAGAATGGCGTGAACCCGGGAGGCGGAGCTTGCAGTGAGCTGAGATCGCGCCATTGTACTCCAGCCTGGGCAACAGAGCGAGATTCCATCTCAAAAATAAAAATAAAAATAAAAATAAAACTTTAAAAAAAACTTTTATTTTAAGTTCAGGGGTACGTGTGCAGGATGTGCAAATTTGTTACATAGGCTGCTTTCCTAGACTTAAAGGGGAAAAAAAGACAAGGAGGTTTAAATTGTTTGAGAAAAAATTAGAGGCATAGAAGATAGACCAGAGGAACCCATTATGAAATTCATAAGAAGAAAATAGAGCAGATGAAAACAAATAATGTTTAAAACCAAAAAAGAAACATTTCCTCAAACAGAAGTTTTAGGTCAAAGATACTTGCACACGCATGATTACAGTAGCACAATTCGCAATTGCAAAATTGTGGAACCAACTCAAATGCCCATCAATCAACGAGTGGATAAAGAAACTGTGATATATATATACAATGGAATACTACTCAGCCATAAAAAGGAATGATTTAATGACATTCACAGCTACCTTGATGAGATTGGAGACTATTATTCTAAGTGAAGTAACTTAGGAATAGAAAACCAAACATTGTATGTTCTCACTGATATGTGGGAACTAAGCTATGAGGATGCAGAGGTATAAGAATGATACGATGGACTTTGGGGACTTGGGGGGAAGGGTGGGAGTGGGGCGAGGATAAAAGACTACTAATAGGGTGCAGTGTCTACTGCTCTGGTGATGGGTGCACCAAAATCTCACAAATCACTAAAGAACTTACTCATGTAACCAAACACTACCTGTACCCCAATAAACTATGGAAAAATTAAAGAAAAAAAGAGAAGTTTTAGGTCTTTTGTTCATAAACGGTTCACTACCAGGTAAGAACTGTGGCAAAATAGATACCTTATCTAGATCCAAGGATATGTTTTGATTTCCATATGTAGCAGGATATTTCTAGACTTTTCCATAGAAGAAAACAGATTACCTAACAAGGAATAAGGATCTGACTGCCACTGGCCTTCTGCTCTGCAGTCCTGTATGTAGAAGTCAGTGGAACAATGTTCACAGAGCTCTGAGGGAAATGGGTTAAGGGTCAGAAGTTCTACACACAGACGACCATTCACAGGCATGAAAGTTAAAAAGACATTTGCCATTATGTGAAAATGAAGAAAGTACACACCTCTCTAATTTTGTTTTAAACAAGAAATTTGATTTAAGAAATTCTCTCAACAAAGAGTTAAAAATAAATGACTGCAAGAATGAGGGAGACACAGTGTATACAATGCAGTGAAAAATAATGAACCGCAAAGACCCATAAAGTCTAATTAATTCTTGATGCTGAATTGCTGATTCCATTACCCATGGAAAGTTGAAAAAAATGGTCAAAAACATGACCCCAAACTTTCAAAGAATGGATGATTTCTGTGTTATCTGTGGTTTTCATAGGATAAAATAATATGGAGACCTTGCCAAATCATTTTCGGCATAACAGCTCCTTGAGGACAGTAATTACATCTGTCCTATTTATTTTTCTACTCTTCATAGCAATTACAGTGCTGGGTACACACTAAATACTCAGTAGGTATTTGCTGAGTATGGAATGAGTATTCTGACACCAAAATTTAACAAAGACAATGCAAAAAAATTGATATAAATGAAAACATTTTTAATGTCTATTAGCTGATGAAAGCCAATGTGTATTAAACAAATAACATACATTACCCACCGGCATATTCTTAGGAATAGCAACATGGCACAACATTAGAAGAAGTCTTACTTTTAATGTTTTTATAATGGAGAAGTTCAAACCTCTATATGAAAATTAGAAAGAATAGATCATTAACTTCAGGTATTTTTATCCAGATTCAGTAATCACATCGTGGTATATCTTGTTCAGCCATGCACCTCCTCACTTCTCCTCACTTGCTTGAATTATGTTGAAGCAAATCCCAGATCACGATAGCATTTCTTTTTTTTTTTTTTTTTTCCGAGATGGAGTCTCACCCTGTTGCCCAGACTGGAGGGCAATGGCGTGATCTCGGCTCACTGCAACCTCCACCTCCCAGGTTCAAATGATTCTCCTGTCTCAGCATCCCAAGTAGCTGGGATTACAGGCGCACACCACCATGCCAAGCTCATTTTTGTATTTTTAGTGGAGACGGGGTTTCAACATGTTGGCCATGCTGGTCTCAAACTCCTGACCTCGTGATTCACCTGACTCAGCCTCCCAAAGTGTTGCGATTACAGGCGTGAGCCACCACACCCAGCAGCATTTCATTTTTAAATAGTTTAGTGTGTATCTATAATAAATGGTAGACACTCTCTTTTTTTCTTTTTTTCAAGATAAAGTCTCACTCAGTCACCCAGGCTGAAGCTTAGTGGCATGATCACAGCTAACTGCAGCCTCAAATTCCTTGGGCTCAGGTGATCCTCCCACCTCAGCCTCCCAAGTGGCTGGGACTACAGGTGTGCACTACCACACCCAGCAAATTTTAAAGTTTTTTTTATAGAAACCAGATTTTGCTGTGGTGCCCAGGCTGGTCTCAAACTCCTGGACTTGAATGATCCACCCACCTCAGCCTCCCACAGTGCTAGGATTACAGGCATGGTCTTTTAAGCAAATTAAATTACCAGCATCACACCTTTTAAATATCATACCACCAACTCTTCACTCACTATTAACATTTATCCAAATGTCCTTTTTTTTTTTTTTTTTTTTTTGAGACAGAGTTTCACTCTGGGCAATAGCCCAGG